GTTGTAAGCACTGTGTAACTGCCTCGAGGGTGCTCGGCCAATTTAACACAACGTGGTGCGATCACACCCCTTGCGTGGAGTGAGGCTTTTTCCACCCCGCACAACATGATCTACTCGACCACCATTAGGTTACCGCCAACAAAAAAAACAGAGGTGGTTGCCGAGCTCACGAAGTGAATTGGCTTGTTTTACAACGTCGTTGCCAAGCGACGAAAACCCAACCCCGATGGTAAACAGCGGGGGGGAGAAGGACAACAGCTGCAGCAGCTGGTAGATATTTGCCTTCAGGGTGACCACCACCAACATATTGTCGTGTAACTTTCGCTGTGCTCTGAGCAACAGCGAAGCAGTATCGTTTGTTCAACGCCTTCGTTCGGTTAGTTGCCGGCCTACCGCTCCAGCGTCCAGCGCGTCCAGCGCAGGAGCAGCAGCGGCAAAAACAACAACAGCAACACTATTTAGCAGCCCTATCCCACAAGCCCACCAGCAAAACCAGCAAAACCCAACCAACCACCACTCGCCAACCAGGGGCCAATAAACGTCGATGTTAACGTGTGCCGTCTTGCACTCATTGCTACGTAGGCCGAGCGTCGGATCTCTGTGCGTGTGGCAATTGACTATGTAATGCACGCACACGTTCTGCTTGACTAGAGGGAACCTGGGTGGTCGTCCTAAGACTCGCTTGGACCAACAACAAACGAGCGAAGAGAGTAGAGGTCACGTTTCCCGCGTCGGAATCAACTCAACAAACGTAAAATTGCAGTCGTGACGAATTTAAGAGTAGTGCCGTGCGACAAGAGTGTTGGAGGTAGTAGCGATGGGAGTACTACGAGTCCTTGCTAAAGCTGTTAAATCCTTGCAATATTGAGCCGTTGGAACAGTGCACCCGGAGCTCGACAATGATGGTAATCACACGAATGGGAGTAACCTAGACACACAGCTAGCAGGGTCGGAGGGGACCCCCAAGAGTCAGCGCTGCACTCAGGAAGGATAGGAGCCACGCAACTAAATAGCGAAGCAGGGAGCGTCCGCAGTTCAGATTGAGAGAGCTGAAAGATACAGATCACCCGCAGTTTATGCTTGGATGTGAGGGTACAGAGGAGGTAGGAGGAGAGGGTTCAGAGCCGGCGCTACAAGCACTAACGAGTGCATAACAGAAAAGATAAGCAAGCTAATAGGGGACGTCATTCCCAAATAGCTTGCGGTCAAATGGCGTGAAGTCTTGACCTGGCCAGTGGGCTAGGAGGTCTGGAAAAGAAAATGCACGGGTGTAGCGTAGCCCGAGTGTGTTGGCACTTCTTCCGTGTCTAATTTGTCGCTTACCCTGTTTTTCTTTCTAATCCAACTTTGAAAGCACTTCAGAAAAAACAAAAGAAATGCACAAAAAACATACTCCCACACCCAGAAGTACAGTTTTTTTTGGTCACCTTTCGTCCACGAAGAAATCTCCTGATGAATTCCTTCGCTTCCTCATCTTTCGCTTCAAAATCATGGTCAAACCACCGCCGCCCGCTGCCTGCTGAGTCCCGTACGCAACAGAGCAAGAACGAATCATGATTAAGATCGCAACATTGCTGGCGTGTGTGAGGGAGAAACAGCAGCAGCATGCATCAACGCGCGGCCATGCAGAGGCACAGCAGCAACATAATCTCGGTGCCCACACACAAGGAGAGCCGGGCATTCGTTTGAAAACTCGCGGCAAACTTCACCCATTGCTGTTACTTGTAGCATACACAAGGGGTAACGCGGCGGAAAGCAAACCTAGGGCGACATAAATCCCTACAGCTTGGCTCTACTCTGCACATCGCCCATCATAGTACATCCCGATCGTCTCCCGTCAGCAGCAGTGTTGGAGGAACAGACGACTGAAAGGCCGAAATAGATGGTCACGGGACTGTGAAAATGCATGAATCAAACATAACCACTTCCAGCACAGCTAAGTTTGATACATCATACAAGCATGCTACAGCAGTCGCACACCGGAACTAAACTCCGAACCTTCCTTCCACGCCAAGTTCCTTCAAGCCCTTGTCCCACCCCTCGAAGACTTGCAGCCACATCGCTTGTTGTTGTCACGAAAGCGACCTCTCTGGTGATGACAGGTGTAGCAGGTGCGGCGGCTCCTTGATCGCTGCAAAGCACAAATGCCAATGATGGCAGGGTGCTGGTCAAAGCCACGTGTGCAGATAGCACCAACGCACGGCTCCACCAAGGGCTTCCATTCCACCACGAGGGAAGACGATAGGCCATGGTTGCCACACAGCAAAGCCAGCACGGAGGTGACAATAACAGCAGCAGTGGCGAGTGGTACGGCAGCCGCAAAATGGAAATACAGGGTTTCCAAGTTGAGGCTACGTTGTGCACCGATAGTAGGGGATGATCGACATGGTCCCCCGATTCTCCCATTTTTGATTCTTGGCACCAACTTCTCCCTTCTTCCCCTCGCTCCTCGACAAGCTTTTGCTTAGACATGGGTTGTAGTGAAGGGGGGGGTCTTTCTGGCGAGCAGGGCTAGACTCACCCTCAAGGGATGACCGAAACCTTCTTGCTGCTGCGCATATCCGCCGCGAGGCATGCGCGT